TGCCAGAGACTCACCCCCAGAGGTTCTCATTGGTCTGGAGTGAGACCCAGGCATCAGTATTTTTTAAAAGTTCTTCCAGATAATTCTAATGTGTGGCCAGCATGTGTGGCCAGCATTCAGAAGCACCGTCTTTATGTTTTTCTCTCTCAGAATAGGTATCCGAACTTAATGCTAATGAGAAAGTACTTCAGATTTTATCACCCTATATCTCGGAAAACCACTTTTCCTCTATTGAGTGCCACTGACCCATAAGAAAAAAAAAAAGTCAATAGTCTAAATGTACAAGCACGAAGTGACTTAATTGAATTTTTTACAAAAGGAAAAAATTCAATCCATTTGTTTTTAAGTTTAATAACAGGGTGAAAAAGAAGTAACCTATCGGTTAGTGTGTGCCACTAACCAATTATTATGTTATTATGTTGTTATGTTTCATGGTCTACTTTAAACACTTTTACATGTATTGTTTTATTTAGTCTCCCAAGCAACGTAGAAAGGCAAATATTATTATTCCCATTTTTACAGTCAAGGAAACAAAAACTCAGAGATGTTAAATTGACTTGTCCAAAGTCACAGAGTTGGCATATGGTGATGCCAGGAGGCAAACAAACAAATGGCCCCATCTGCTGCTCTCACTCATCTCTTTTTATCAGGCCATGCTGCCCTATCTAAAGAAAACCTTAGTGAATGATACTTCACCAAGCAATAGAAATTTTCTCTCCAAGCCAATGAAAGGGATAGATGGAGCTGGACAATCAAGAGAAGAAAAGAAAAGAAGTAGAGTAAGAAGAATGAAATTCAGTGCAAGCAAAGAGAAGGATCAGAAAGGAGACATCAACTGCATCCAGCAGATGAGTCACAGTGCATGGGCCAAAGTCATACTAAATGGCCACATTTCCCAATAGCTACTTAGATGGTCAAGGCAGCAAATACAACCAGTGTGTTACCATGTGCCCTGGATTGTGCTGTAAGGGTGCATAAGACACAGTCCTGCCATACAGATGCTTATAACCTAGCATGGGAGGCGGATTTGCACACAAACAGGATAGATTTTGCCTTGCCTTAGCAGAAGTAAGTACCGAGAACTGGGAGTAGAGATGAAGAAGCTGTTCATATGGGTCAGAGAAGACTTAGATGGCTTTGAAACAGGGTAACTCATTCACGATGAAGACAGAAGGAATGGTCGAACTGAATCATGGAAATAGAAACTAGCAAGGTGTGTGTTTGAGAAATGGAAAGGGCCCTTTATAAATTTCTGAGACAGGGAAATAATCCCATTCTCACTGACTCCCTCCTTTTACTCAGGGCTGAGATTGTATCTTCTAGCTTTGAATTTTCACATCATACTCATCTGCAGTTATATAGGAATGGTTCTTCCAGGTTCACTCCAGTTCCTAGATCATTTAATAGTGGAATTAGATTCAGGTTTCCTCTCCTCACTGCCCACAGCTCTGTGCAGCCACTATACAACGCATATCTCTGTTTTATGTTAGGATTCCAAATTACAAGATTGTATAAAGTACTTTCTTTTTTGGTCTCTATATCCCTATCCTGATCACAATTCAAATGAAAAGTTTCTTGTCCTATAAAATGAGCAAAATTGAATTAATTTCTTAAGGTGTTCAGAAGGGCTGTCTTTGAGCTGGGAAAGAACTTCCAAGCCAGCTTCCATTAACACATTTGGAATTCTAGGTGTTTCTTTGAAGCCTGGAAATTTTTTTTTAACCTGCACAGAACCTTTACACTATTGCCTTTAAAGCAGATACTTCCTTTTGTTTTAATTAACAATGACTTTAGCAGGTTTTAAATAATGGTTTGTCTTTATGAAAGAAAACTAGGGTGGAAACACTCCAAATCCACTTTTTGGGATAAACTGAGGAGTCATTAAGTCCTTTCCAACAAGATTTAGACAGTTCATTAGAATAAATATATTTTCATCTCCCACTTTCTATATCATCTTAAAACAGAGCAAAGATACAGTGCTGGAATAATGACACACAGTCTGAAAAATATTCTAAATGTACTGAAATCACTGCATTGCCTTTCACTTTGTAGTTTCAAAACATTTATAATTTGTATGATGTGTCTATTAAATGCTGCCTAATAGCCAGGAACAGGACAGCACTCAGGAATTTATTGGTTTACCTAGACTAAAATTGTGACCAAACCCTGTGAAGGAATGACTAAAGCAATCAGAAGATTCTACTGGAGTCCAAGTTGAAATAACTTCTTGAAAGTTTAAGCCAATGCTCATTCTTATGAAGTAATTTATTCAATTTAGATTAAAAGTATTCTTATTTCCTGAAAGTTAACTGGTTTTAATAATGGATGTAGTCCCTATTCTATTTGATATTTTAGAGATGCTCAAAAAGAAACATAAATGACTTTAAACAACCCAGACCTAAGCCATTTAAACAGACAGCAGATTTAATTTCTATGTCTTTCTAAGTCTAGAGTCTAGGACACCCATTCAGGTGAATCCTTTGATTCCTGCCATTATCCCAGAACAAGGGTAGATGTATGAATTCTTGCATCTATACTGGTTACTAAACTCCCAGCCTCTGTTCTACCTCCTACAGTCTCTGTTCCTCATAGCTCTGATGCTGACCCAAGGGTTATAAAAGGAGATCAATTCCCAGACCTAATCCCAGAAAGTAAATACACAACAACAGAGTATATGCTTAGATCCATTCTTCAATTTATTGAATCACAAAATATTGGCGCTGAGAGGAATCTTAGAAGCTAACAGTTTCAAACTCTCCATGGTACAGAGTAAGCCCTAGAGATGTTAAGTGAATTTCTCAAGGTCACACAGCTAGTTAGTGACAAAACTGGGCCCATTACCAACCACTTACTATGAGTGCATGCTCTGATCCCTTGCTACTCAGTGTTGTCTGCAGACCAGCAATATCAGCATCACTTGAGAGCTTGTTAGAAAGGTAGGCTCTCAGGCTCCACCCAAGACCCTCTAAAGCAGAATTTGCATTGTAACAATTTTTTTTTTAAACAGGATGTCCCCGTGTCATCCAGGCTGGAGTGGTGCAGTGACACAACCACGGCTCACTGCAGCTTGGAACTCCCAGGCTAAAGCTATCCTCCCCCCTTAGCCTCCTGAGTAGCTGCCGCTACAGGCACACCCTACGACACATGGCTAACTTTTTTGTTTTTAATTTTATGTAGAGACGGGATCTTGCTATGTTGCCAGGTCTGGTCTCAAATTCCTGAACTCAAGTGATCCTCCCTACTAAGCCTCTCAAATCGCTGAGATTACAGGCATAAGCCACCACAACTGGCCCAAATCTTTAGGTCATTCATAGGCACATTACAGAGCTGAAGCCAAGCCAGGCACATTGGCAAGAACCTGTAGTCCCAACTACTGGGGAAGCTGAAGAGGTAGAATTTATTTTATTTATTTAGTTAGTTAGTTAGTTAGTTAGTTTTGAGATGGAGTCTCGCTCTGTCACCCAGGCTGGAGTGCAGTGGCGAGATCTCCGCCGCCCGGGTTCATGCCATTCTCTTGCCTCAACCTCCTGAGGAGCTGGGACTACAGGCACCCACCACCACGCCCAGCTAACTTTTTCTATTTTTAGTAGAGACAGGGTTTCACCATGTTAGCCAGCATGGTCTCGGTCTCCTGACCTCATGATCCGCCTGCCTCGACCTCCCAAAGTGCTGTGATTACAGGCGTGAGCCACCGGGCCTGGCCAGAGGTAGGATTTCTTGAACTCAGGAGTTTGAGGATGCAGTGAGCTACGATTGTGCGTGGGAATAGCTGCTGCATTTCTGCCTGGGAAATGTAGCAAGTTCTCATGTCTAAAGAATATATTTTTAATTTAAAAACTAAAAGAATTGAAGGCAAGTAGATGTTGGTTTGAAGCATGGCTCTACCTGTTCCAGCTGTAAGCAAAAATCTCAAACTCCTGAAAGCATCATTTAGAATCTGGAAATATCACTACCCACCTTGCAGAGTTTTCATTGTATAAGCATAACATAGATATATGCATATGCATTTCATGAAATATGTATGTGCATAAATAATATATTCAAAGTGCATGGCATATAGTAGAGAATATGGTATACAGTAGCTAATGTTATTTCCCGTCTCATGCTTATCATTAGTACTGTGCTTAACCATACTGAAAGCCACTAATGACTGCATCCATGAAGGAATCACCAGTCTTCCTTCCTTGGTTCTAATGTGTTAAATATCATTTTAACTTTTATATATGATTAAGACTTCTTTATTTAATGTTCATAACTCCCAAGAAAATTATTATTATGTGGAAAACAAATAATAATAGCTAACTACTTTTAGTGCTGTGCTTAGAGAGGAAAGAACATCTGCCAAACCCAAGTCATAGTAACAATTAAAAAAAAAACCCCACAACATTCTTAATATATCTTGACTCTAGATCCTACAAACCTGGCTTCTCCAGAAGCCAGAGAGTATCAGCTGCCACTGATGCTGTAATTTTCTTAGACAGAGACTCAACTGCCGTGGACAGATGCCACAACAGCAGCAAAAGTGGAGCACGGTTAAAAGATGACATTTCATCACCAACATGTCACATTTGTCAGCATTAAAAAAAAAAAAAAACCGATTGAAAAGAAGAAGTCAAATTTTAGTATCCAAATCTGAACTAAAATTTTGGAAAAATACAGCATAGTAAAGAGTGTGAAACTGTACCAAAGTGATATTTTGAAGGAGATATTTTGGGGAAAATGTGACTTTAACATCAATTAGAAAACCATGTTTTCCTAAGGCAGTAATTCTCAATCCCAGCAGTGCATTACAATCAGCTAAGGAAGCTTTAAAAAGATTGAATGCAAATTTCTGAGAGAGGACCAGGCTCCAGTGTTTTTTTAAAAATTCCCAGTCAATTTTAATATGCAGCCGGGATTGAGACCCACTGCCCCTATGGCATCACAACCCTGTTGTTAAGTAAGAGTCCATCCACTGAGAGCTATTCGTTGCTGTTAACTTCCGTGTGTACCTCTTCTAGGTCTTTTTGCCATTCCTCCAGGACATCCAACGTAAGGAAAGGAGACCCTGGACCAACATTCTCTAAGATGTTTATATGGACCAGTGGCCGGACCTCTTCATCTTATAGACATGATGAAAAAAGGTAAATGCACTGGGATTCTGGGAACTTTTCAGAAGCATTTAACCTGACTCTCCAAAGAGGATACTGACAGGAAAGTAGTAGGCAACTGAGCCTTATGCTTTGCAATGTGCGGACGGACTCTACACTACAGGAGTAGGGTTTCAGACACTTCGGCCTTCCTTCTCTTTGCACTTTACATGTTTGCTTTCAGCACATACCCTTGCAAAAGTTGTTCCCTGTCAGAAATTCCCATGTCACAAGCTCTTTGCTTAGCTAACTCCAGCTCTGCCTTCAGATATCCAATGTGAACCACCACTCCCATCAGCCTCTTTAGCCAAACGGACTGTGTTGTTGAATTTCCAGCACCTAGCACTGTACCTGGCACACGGCGCTCAATAAATACTGAGCACCAAATGTATTAATAATAATTTATTAACTGAATTAATTTTATTAATTAATAATAAAAATTAAATAATAAAATATAATTAATAAAATAATAAATACTGAGAACCACTGGCAATTCAGTTTCTTCTTCCAAAGTGATGAAAACTGCGTTTCTGGGTACTGGACATACGGCAGGGAAGGAAAACAGAAACTATGAGAGGAGGAAAAGAGGACAGACAAATCCACTGAGCCCTCAAAAATCATTGGAAGAATAGTCTGGGGGAAGGGAAAAATGAGGGAACAAGAAGAAAGATAAAGGGCAAAGGCAGCATTAAGAAAAGACAAGATGACCATTGTGCAACTCAATCCAGTCCTCTCACTTGAGTTTAGGGAGTAAATGTATTCATAAAATTCTCTAGTCATTTTTAAATACTTAGTCTTCTTCTTTCCCATGACCTTGCACTATTATTTGGGTTAAGTGAAGCTAAATTTTAAGTACAACTGCCTTTACCAGCATATTGCAACAGAAGCAAGTTGCAAATCAGGCAGAATCTGATAGAAATCAGGATCAATTTGGTTGAAGGAAATTTGTGAAACACTGATAAAATAAAAATTAAAATTAAATAAAAATTAAAAATTACAATTGATAAAAGTTGGTAAGGCACCAGGAGAAGAATCTGAAGGAGGTTTGCCTGAATACTGTTTTCAGAGCTGATACTTTTATTTTCCTTCTAAAACCTCAATTGCCTCACAGATAAAAATTATTTTTAAAATTTCAAAAGCAAAGTTGTTTTTCACAATAATTATATATTACAGCAAAAGTTGGGAAGCGACTTGAAAATTCACAATAGAAAATCTGCTAAATAAATCACTGAATGTAATATACCACTTAGCACTTTAAAATGCTTTGACATAATATAAACTGAAAAAAGCAAGTTGAAAATTTGCATACAAACTATGATTGCAGCCACAAAAAATATACATAGGCAAAAGCCTGGAAGAAATAGCATGGTTTTTACTGCTCTACTTTCCAAATGCTTTGTAATATATTGTTACCTTAATTATGGAAAAAAATGATTATATGATATTTAACTAAAATTATAGCCCAGAAGGCAACTAATGTTGCCTTGTCAGCATTTAAAAAACAAGTCCCAGTGCTCATCACGACACCAAGCAAATTAACTGAAAATTTACGTTACTTGATCATCTCTAGGTTTTCACTGCTTTTTCTCAAGGTTTAATCAAATTATTTTTCATTTGCTTTCAAGTTGAATCATCTTTCAGCAAGATCATTTCTTTAACACTGTAAAATTTCACATGTTACTTCAAATTCTATATGTGAAAGTGCAGAAAGGCAGAGATTTGGTCCTGCAACTTCCGTCCCAGGACCAAATCCAAGAGTTTTGTTGCCCTACAGGAATATGATAATTGTCAACAGCCAGCTGTCCTGAAATTCTGAAGGCAAGTGAAGTGTAATGCATTTCTTTCACCTTCTATTTACTCTCAGCAAATAATTCAATACATTTTGCTACTTTTTATGAACAAAGGAATTAACATTTAAGAAGCAATTACTGTGTACTGCAGGTTTTAATTGTGTTCTCTTAAGATAGAGATTATTATGCCTGCTTCACAGATGAGGAAACTGAGACTTTTTAAATAACGGAGAGATTTTCAACAACTTCCAAAGGCCCAACAACTAGCCAGTGATGAAATCAGGATTTGAACCCAAGCTGATGCTCTCTCCCTGTACCCCAGTACCTGCCCATGCTCTTGTGATAGTGAACAGCCAAGCCCACAAGGGGAAAAGTATGTTAAAATAGAGTTGGATATTGCATATCAAAGAAGATAATAAACATGTGACTGACAAATTGGTAATATTTGTGGAGTTTGAAAGGCGTGAACAATTAGCTTACTATATTCTGCATCAATAAGGTTCTATGAAACTGAAATTACTGTTTTAATTTTTTATTTTTAAAGTATGATTTCACGACTATGGGATTTATAATAATTAAAATATTGACTATGAAGAAATCATTTTTCAGCAAGCTTTATTTATGGGATGGGGATGCAAAAGCTTATTAAATAAGTCTGCATGGCGAAAAAGTACAAGCAATAGAATCTGCCATTAAGCTGGTATCCTTAGTTTAATGTTGGAAGTTCATTTGCCTGTGCTTTTTTCTTGACCACATCTTCGTCTTTGCTGCTTAATTCACAAACTCTTGGAAGATCCGACTCAGATTTTAAACTACTTTGAGCAGTATCTGTGGCTCTGTTTAAGGTGCTCTCGGTGGCAGTAAACATGGTGATAATGAAGATGATGATGGCTGATAATTAATCTACATGATTAAGGTCCTCGAGTTAATTATTTGGAAATAAATTAACTAGATTGTCTGACAGCACTGCCTCAAATTGCTGGTAATTCAGTTTCTTCTCGTTCTGCAAACCTGGCCTCTGTGTATGCCTGGTTTCTCCAGCTGTGTTCCCACAGCAATCCCAGAAGCCAGGCCATCCAAAATCCTCAGCTGCTCTCCACACCTCCTCTTCCTGAGAACAGGGCCAAGTATGTCAGGATATTGGATTCCCTGGGATTACTCAAACGGTAGAATACCAGGAAACCAGCTTAAGGGCAGGCAGAGCAACTTAAGAGGAAGGAAAAGTTCACTGAAAATTCTGAAACCAAATGTTTTCTTGCTCAGAAGAGATGGAATTAGTTTTACTTTTTTTTTCTTCATTTTAATTCCAAGCCAGATCTTTTTCTGATCATCTTCTATACGCAAAACATAAGGTCCTATCTTCATCTTCCATTCTGCAACCCAGTAATGTGGAGAAATATTTTTTTCTTCTCACAACAAACTTGTTAGTTGAACTCACTTTAATCCCTAAATTTCTTTTTTTTTTCTTTTTTTTTTTTTGAGATGGAGTCTCGCTCTGTCGCCCAGGCTGGAGTGCAGTGGCGCAATCTCGCTCACTGCAACCTCTGCCTCCCAGGTTCACGCTATTCTGCCTCAGCCTCCTGAGTAGCTGGGACTACAGGTGCCTGCCACCATGCCTGGCTAATGTTTTTTGTTTTTGTGTGTGTGTGTGTATTTTTAGTAGAGACGGGGTTTCACCATGTTAGCCAGGATGGTCTCGATCTCCTGACCTCGTGATTCGCCCACCTCAGCCTCCCAAAGTGCTGCGATTACAGGCGTGGGCCACCGTGCCTGGCCTGATCCCTAAATTTCAAGCAGCAAAAAAACAGAATAATTAATTTAGAAATTTAAAAAGAGAGAGGTTTTAAAGCTAAGGTCATTACAGACTGTTAATCAAATATTCTTTAAATTGTCTATATTAAATATTGAAGTGATACAAATGAATATTTATTACATATGTTAATATACAAAGAATGATATTATAAACATCCAGGTACCCATCATTCAGCTTAAAAAACAAAACAATCAGAATTTTTGAAGCCCTGGAGGATGCTTTCCTAATACTATTCTACTCCCCATCCCAGCTCCCAACCCAGAGATAATCAATATCCTGAATTTTGGGTATATTGTTCCCCAATTTTTTTTCATGAGTTTATCGTATTTGGATCTTCAAACAATATATTGTTTACATCTGAATGTTTGGAGACTTCATATAAATGGAATCATGCCATATTTATTCTGCAACTTGCTTTTTTCACCAAACATTATGTTGCTATGATTCGCCAATGCTGGCGTGAGTCGCTGTAGTTCATTTTTTCTGCTATGTAGTATCCCATTACATGAACATACTACCATTTAATCATTCAGTCCACTGCTAAGGGACATTTGCATTATTTTCCAGTTCTTTTGTCTTTGCCAACAATGCTGCTATTCTTGTACATGTCCCTTTGTGCATATGTATGAACATTTCTTAAGATTTATGCCGAACATGGGAATGGTTGGTTCAAAAGTATACACAGCTTTAATTTTACCAAGTAATGCCATGGTTTTCCAAAGGAGCCATACATGCGATTCCCATTCCCATTCTACAGCCTTGTTTAGAGTTTTCAGATTTCTAATTTTCATTAATCCAGAGGGTATTGTTATTTTAATTTTCATTTCTCAGATTAGTAATGAGATTGAATCAATTTCCTTAGTCCTTTTTTCTGAGTTCACTGTTTAAATATTTGGCCCAATTAGGTCAAATACTTGATCGTTCAAATAATTTGCAATTATTTCATTAGATTTATACTTAAGTAACATTTTGCAGCAATTATAGTCATACTTCTATCATTTTTCTACTGGATCGTCTTTTACTTGACTTGTAGGAATTCATTATAAAAGTCCATGTTAATTATTTATCTGCTATATGTATGCAAATAGCTTCTCCCAGTTTGTGGTTTGGCTTTTCACTTTCTTTATCATGTCTTTTGATAAATATATTAATATGTTCTTAACTTTAATATATTCTAAGTTAACAATTTTTGGAAAATTTTGAAATCCCATCCTACTCCAGATTCAAATAGACATCCTCCTGCACAGTTTTCTAAATTTTATGTAGCATTATCTTTCACAATTAAGTATTTAATCATCTGGAATTGATACCCAACATCCAGTTTTTATATGGATAACCAATTGCCCCAGCACCATTTATTGGAGAGTTTATCCTTTCCCCATTGATCCAAA